CATTCCGAGCATCGAATTGTGCCCGTGCGTGTTCGCGGACGTCATCGTGTTCGCCGCTGTTGTCGTCATCGCTGTCGTTGTCGTCATCGTCGTCAGGGAGCTCGATCTTGTCGGGACCATCGTTAAAGTGGCAGTGGTTTCCGTTGAAGCCACACTCGCCGGCAGCGACTCGCACATAGGCCGTTCCTCGCCCAACGGTGACGTTCGTATCGAGAGATCTCCGCCCTGATACTTGACATCTCCCGTACCAGAATTGGTGTTATCGGAGCTGTCCGTCGTGTCCGTCACGTTCTCGTCATCCTGATCAACGCACGTGAGTTGCCTGATTCGCTCCTCCAACGACAGATTCTTGGGCCGTAGATTCTTCTTGCGCGATATCGTGTTGTACTTGCCGATCAGGCTCCGACGCAGCGTGTTCCGCTCGATGGATCTCTTGATCGAGTTAGACGATTCGCATTCCGGCGACTCGTACGAGCCGCCGGGAATCGTCGATTTTTTCACGGCGTCGAACAGCCGTAGACTCTCGGCGGTGATCAGAAACTTTTGTGCCTCCGCGTCCTGAGAATGTTCCGGGCAAGTCGCTTTGTTGGCAGGCGCCGGCGGTGGCGAGATGAACTTCGGGTTAGGAAAAAGTTGTCTCACCGCAGAATTCGGCTTCAGGCTGTTACTGGCGAGGGACACGTTGCCTAGCTTGAACATGAGGGACAACTCTTTCGCGTCCTGCTCGCGCGACTGCTCGCCCGCCGTTGTCGTCGTCGTTGTCGTCGTTTGATCGCTGATGCGTTCCGCTTCCACTGTCGCCTCCCTTTTGTCGTTGCCTGTCGTAGGATTTTTGGTGTTCGCGTGTTCGATTTCACGATCCTCTGTGACATCCGACTCGTTACACCGCGGCGCGATCAACTGCCCTGCATTCTCGTGAACGCTCGTCCCGGGACAAAGCGCCGGATTAAAACCATTATCCCTCGGAACGTCGCAAACATTCTTGTCTTTATCCGTGTCGGGTCGTCCGTAGCAATCCTTTCGCTCCTCCTCGCTAATTTCCCGCACGATACGCCGCTCCGTAACAGTTGTCATCGTTATTGTTTCCACGAGATAACGATGATGCAAATCTAGGAACAGAATTATTGTATCGCTTGGATGAAGCAAATAGGGAGACGCATCGCGAATTAAAACTTAAAATATTTTCATTAAATACGAATAAACATTATATCAAGATTTATATTTCAAAAATTACACGTTAGAGATAGGTAGATATATATGTACGCCGTAACACATGGCATTTTTTATTTACTCAAGTTTATGACCTTAATAAAATGAATAAATAATCGTAATCGTATTCGAGATTTATTTAAAATTGATCATTAATTATCATCAAATAACAAACTGTACATGTAAATATTATTCTTGTTAATTTCATGTATTGTAGAACATTGTTGCAACTACATGCAAGAATAAATTATTATTCATTGCGTAAATGATATAATTAAAATTTATAAAAATTTATAAAAATAAAATTGCGCGCGTGAATGGTATAATTAAAATTTATAAGAATGTCTTGAAGAGTTTTAAAATGTTTTCTAAGATCTTGCTTGAATTTACTAAATCAATACTACCGAGAAGTTAAAAGTATCTGAAGGATAAATAAGTTTTCATTCAAGAATAGTTTGTACAGACAAGTTTTTTTGCAATAAAGAAATTCAAATTTCAAGTCAATCTGTAAAGTAAGAAAAAATAATATACCAGGGAGAGATGCTCGATGCTGTTTATCCAGTCTTTCTTGCAAATTTCTTTGACAATCCTCGTGCACCGTGTCCTTGTTGTCTTGCGTATCCTGCTTATTTCCATGTTCTTTCGCTTGCGATTCGCAGTCTAAAACATAAAAAGAAAACTCGCACTCGTATTCTCTAATTCTAAATTTTTACGATTTTCAATAAACACTTGGGAAACAATGTTTCCAATGGATACTTGTTGATATCTTTATTTACATTATAATATATAATTATAATTAATATGTATTATATTAATATCTGTAATGCATAATTTTATTGTATTAATATGGATAATACATAATTGCAATGAATATATAATTATTGTTAGTAGAATAATTTTTTGTATATGTACATTATAAGATTATTTGAACGCTCTATTTATCAATTTCTAAAGCGACCGAGTTGATATGCCAAATGTACGCTATCTACATTACTCACTGGTAATCTTTGGATAATACGTGATCCTCGCAGAATTAATTACACTATCCGTTAAATCTGCCATTTTATGGTCGTGGACAATGAAGTCGCAGTGTCTGATACAAATGCCATTTCTGTACTGCAATATCTCGTTAAGATCTTAAAGCGGTAAGGCTATAGAAACTTTATCTGTTATCAGACGTGTTGTATCACGGCGCGGCGTTTTAATAGATACGCAGAAGAGATATATAGAGTGTGCCAGAAATGGCGTATTTCCTGTCATTATTAAGAATTGAAGAATTTGCAAAAAAATCTCTTTTATTTTACGAAAATTTTATCAGATTTTAATTATTTTTTAATATATTTTCGCGTTCAAGATTTAAATTAGAATTCTATCATTGTAAAATTCGATAGATTGCCATTCTCGGTAATTTTATCGCATTCCGAAATTATTCAACTGACCTATAAGTCAAAAGGAATTCAACATGCTCAGTCTAACGCACCGTATAATATTGATCGTATCAAATCGTATATAAATATTATACGTTTATCAGCAGAGCAATATGATTATAGTAAAAATACCTATAGTAAGAATATCTAAAATACGATATAGTAATATTAAAAAAAAAAAAACGTTATTTCTAAAATTCTTTTTATTCTTTTTTTTTATTGCTCTTGTTATAAAATTAAATACGGTCCCAACGGCATTTTCCATGATTAAATATGTGTATGTGGCCACATGGAAAGTTTAATTTTTATTAAACGTAACGTATTTTTATTAAATGTAAGAGTAATAAATGCAAGACTTCACTCGAGAAAAAAAATTGGTTTCTTCCAAAATTTAATAATGGAATTTTAAAAGAAATTCTTGAATGTTATCAAATTCGAAGAGGATATTTTGACGGTTTTTCTTAGTTATGACAATTGTTCCAAGCGATGGCTATCGATATTAATGTACTTTCAAAGTCGTACTGTGAGCCATTGACAGCTTGCATAACTTGTGCAGTTTCCAGTCCAGCACACTTGCACTAATAATATGCTGACGTACATTTTCTATTGTCATCTAATGTCGTATCGTCTTCACGATATATCGCATCCTTTAATCGCAAGAAAATCAAGCTAATTCGTTTGAATTATCGGAGAGTAAAATTTTATTTTTTTATTCAATCATATTGCTATTTAAACGTAACGTATTTTTATTAAATGTAAGAGTAATAAATGCAAGACTTCACTCGAGAAAAAAATTGGTTTCTTTCAAAATTTAATAATAGAATTTTAAAAGAAATTCTTGAATGTTATCAAATTCGAAGAGGATATTTTGACGGTTTTTCTTAGTTATGACAATTGTTCCAAGCGATGGCTATCGATATTAATGTACTTTCAAAGTCGTACTGTGAGCCATTGACAGCTTGCATAACTTGTGCAGTTTCCAGTCCAGCACACTTGCACTAATAATATGCTGACGTACATTTTCTATTGTCATCTAATGTCGTATCGTCTTCACGATATATCGCATCCTTTAATCGCAAGAAAATCAAGCTAATTCGTTTGAATTATCGGAGAGTAAAATTTTATTTTTTTATTCAATCATATTGCTATCTCGCGCACTTTAAAAGTCGCACAAATAAAGTAATAAATCATTTGACATTTTATTTCATGAATTTCAAAAACGAATTTTATTTACATGAGTAACGTATGCATGCATAGATACAAGTTACTTTGTTCGAATGACAACTTTGTATTCTGGTAACGCGTTATGCATTTTATGTAATTTGCTCTCTAGAGAATTTTATTACGTCATTTTTTGATTTTTGTCGCTTTAAAGCGAGGGTGCGACTTACTCATGAAAACATCAAATAACTGTCTTTTATTTTTGCTTATACATATATACACACATTCACATATAAATCGCAACCTGTTGCAAATTTGAAACATGAAAATAAAAACTCTATTTTGCGAATTTTTATATGAGACACGATTTTACGAATCTAATGTTCACGTTGAAATATTTCGTTCATGTGTCACATGTGTGTGGTATTGATATTTTATTTTTTTTTTTACGTTTTTTACATTTTTTGCCTTCTTTATTTTTTACAAGCTTCGAAAATTTTGCAGAATCTAAACACCGTAACGCCTAATGGAGAATTTAGTTCTATTTCTCGTAGCGTAAAACGCGAGTCGTTTGGTTAGAAATATAAGTGCTCTTACCGAGTATCAGGGAAGTACCGGAGTTACGCTAGGCCGCGCTTCCGGTGAACGTTGATACGCGAATAAAGCCTATACTCTACACGCATTGGCATTTTGTGACTGCGTTCATAAATCTAATCAAGGCTTTTAATCGATAAATACACGAATTATGCATCCCATTTTATGCAAAATATACTCTACATACTTAAATTATTTTTCCTCAAAGTTTTAAGATTGATCAAGCTTAGCTCGACGTCGTTTTTCAATTATTATATATGGCGTTACTATTTTTTATCTATTTATTTCTAAAAAGTGAATATGTGAAGAGATTATTATTGTTATAACTATTACGTAAATTAGAATAATCGCGAATATTCACAAGTACAGATATTTTTCCTTTTAAAAAGCTCTCTTGGTATTCTAAAGAATGCGCATAAAAATTCTGCTATGTTCTTAAACGGCTTACCGAGCGTGGCTAGACTCATGAAAAACAATACCATTATTATATACGCATCCTGTGCGGAGGGATATCGTGGGACTGTTTCTCAGTTATGTGTGAGAAAGGAGCTGAGCAACGATGCAATTCTCCTAATTTGCACCTTTCCATTAAAGCTGATAGATTCAACTCTTGATACGTGGCATCATTACTTTCATTATGCACAATAATGCAGCGTAAAGCGTATTATATTATATATGAATTATATTAGTACATTGTTACGAATATTGAAATGTAATACACAACAAGCGCGATACGTCATATAGGGAGACTTTGAAATTATTTTCTTTCAAATTATTTTATGTGCCTCTAGGCATATTTTTTTGATTTCATTAAAAAACGGAGAGGAATACGATGATTATTATATTTTTCGGTTAACTGACATTTAAAGAGAAAATAAATATCTGCAATTTACCAAATGTTAAACTTCGTTTGAATTCTAGACCATCAGATAACACGCTTTTTAGAATGTATTTTAATTGGAAGGCAGAAAAAAATATTTTTAGCAATACCATATACAGAATGTTCCAGATCTATTGCATCATTTGGAGATCATTTGGAGACGATTTTTCCTCAGCGAAAATGTCGAGAGAGGTCATTATTTTTTGCAAGTTTCCAATTTTTTCCATCATATATCTTTGTAACTAAGCCTTAAATTAGAATTTTCTCTCTCTATTAAAATAAACTCTATCTGAAATTAACTAAAGAATGTAGATTTAACTTTCTATAAAGTTTAGTTTGCAAAAAGCCCTCCTTTTTTAATCGCTTGTAACACGGAAATTATTGATGCCTCGATATTTTTGCTGAGGAAAAATCATCTCCAAATGATTTTAAGAATCTGCTATTAGCAGGGGATGCAGTAAGTCTGGGACACCCTGTATGTATAATCAATAAATATCAATAGTGATAAAGTTATAAATAAGCATATATACAATAATTGTGTAAATTAATAGTATTTTTAATAAGTAATATTAAATTTTTTATTCCCAACGTAATAGGTTGTTATTATGATTCTATGACCAATTTTAAATACAATGCTCGATGAAAAAAGAAGTAATAAAAATATTAAAACAATTCTTGCGCAGAAAATTCAGATATGGTTAATAGAAATTTGGAACTGTGCGTTACCCGAAAATTACTACGCGAATTTTTAATGGACAGATTTAATTTTTATGTTAAACATAACGATATCTGCGATACAAAAAAAAAGGTCAATTGAGACAAAACGCATCTTAAATTTATTTTAATTGAGCGTCTGGGAATATTAATATTGCGAATATTGTTTCCGGCGAATATTTTACACGGTTGTTAGATAATAACAGGCTGTGCATGGACTTTCTCTCCTTTTCCAACCAAAGATGTAGAATACGCATCAGAAGTTTTCTGAATATGAAAGTTTCAAATGTGCACTATGGTTTATTACATTAAGCTTTGTATTATGTGACTCGTTGCAGAACATTATGAAATTATTCTTTTTTCTTTAGTAACGAAAACAACATTCATATGGTGCTTTTGATGCTTCAAACTAAATAATAGCAAATTATTGTATCGATGCGATCTGTTCATTCTATATAAATTAATATTATTTTTCTAATATTATTATATATATATATATATAACTTCTTTAGTAAGATAAAAAAGTAAAATTTACAAAATGGATAAAACAAATAACGTATCACTATATTAATTAATTATTGACAGTGATTTAACTTATAATATGATATGATATACATATAATATAGTAAAATATATATTTCTATTCAATTATTGGAGATAATACTTCCAATCTCCATCCTTCCTCTCCCTCTCCGCTAGTCTTCATAATCTCTAATCTATCTAAATGAGAATCTAATCCAGGAAGATATCTACCAAACAAATTAAACTCTCTCTCTCTACCGGGAATATCTATAAAAAATTATTAGAATCGAAATTCTCTCCCATTGCAAGATAGTCTATAATTTCGCCAGTTTCTGCAATTATCCAGTTAAAATTATTGCTTATATATTAATTCTTTTTTCAATATATTATTCATTGGATTTTGATAATTAATAAGCAAAGTAAAATTAAAATTAATTCAGATATATATAAAATCACTTTTTTTATATAAAAAAATGCAAATATCGTTTTAAATATCTGTTATTTTCAGATAACGAAATATATTTAATCTTAGTCTATCTTTGTCTATCTTATAACGCGATAATTCAAGGAAACGGAGGAAGGCGTCTCTTCCTCGTTTTGCCAAGTATTAATCGAGAAAATAAGTGAGTTTAAGTTTTATTAGCGAGGCTAACATAAAAGAGAGAAAGCTCGACTCACCCTGCGTTGCCTGTTGCTGATAATAATTGCACTCCGTGCACGTACGGCTACGCTGCTCCGTCTCGTTGGCGATCTCGCTGTTGGAGCAGACGTCTTTGTAACCCTCCGGAGGGCTGAGAGTTTCCTGCTGCTCGTGCCGCGGTGGCGGCGTTGGCGGTGGCTGAACCACGCTCCCGTTCTCATCCTGAGAATCCTGAGGGGTCTCCTTCGATCGGGAGCGTCCCTTCGTCCCGTCCTCCGCGTCCTTTCGCTCGCTCGCGTCCTTCCCTTCCATCAACGTCGTCGTCGTCGTCCTCTCCGTCGCCGTCGCCGTCCTCACCGTCTTCCCGTCGACGTTCTCAACCTCGTCCTCCTCCTCGTCCTCCCTCTCCTCCTCGTCGTCCTCTTCCTCCTCGCCGTCGTCCGCCTCCTCCTCGTCCTCCTCGTCGTCGTCCTCCTGCGAGTCCTCGCGACCCTGCTGACTCTTGCCGCGGGTTCCAGGACGCGCGGGGGTCTCGCGCAACGTCTGCTCTACCCCCCTCGGCATCTCGCCGTATCTGCCGTTACCGAGGCCAAAGTGCAGGTTCAATTCCGCCCGGCACTCCTTGCAATTGCCCAGCCGCATGAACTCGTGCTCCTGGTAACAGCAGTCGCAGTCCTCCTCGTAATCGGCGCAGCACTCCTCCTTGATCAGTATGATGTAATCGGCCGCGAAGAACTCGTTCAGCTTCTCGTTGATCACCACGCGATGCTTCTGCGACTTGGCCTTCGTTTGGCCGGGCTTCTTAAGCAGCGACTTTAGTGTCTTCGCCGCCGGTTCCGCCGGATGTTTATTTCCGTGTTCCTTCATTATTCGCGGTTTCGTGCGTCCGTTCTCTCTTTAAGTTTGCCTCTTTCTCACTCTCGCCTTCTCTCCCTCTTTACGTGTCATTTGCTACACTGACATGTCATACCTTCTCTCTCTTCATTGTATACTTTTTTTTTTTTTTTTTTAAAGTCCTCGCAGGGGCTCGGCCCTCCCTCCCCAGGACAGTATAGTACACGGCTATTCTTCTCTCTCTCTCTCTTTCTCTCCTCGCTATCCGTCCTTGCCACCACCACCTGTGCTACGGCTTCCTACCTGTCTGTCCCTCACGCTCGCTGTTCCCACGGCGGCGGCGCGCGTATACTTTCTCGCGCGGTTAGCGATATCCACCTGTCACTATATGCCACCCTTACCGTTCATCGTCCGGCAACCCCGTCGTCGCGTCGGCCATCGACGTTCCGGCCGCCGTTAAGTGATCCTGCCGTTCAACGGTCGCAACATCCCTCTCCCTCAAGGTGATCGGGCGCGTGATCGATGAGACCGCCGTGGTAATCACATGCTTCGACCTTCTCCCCGGTTGCCTGGCGACGATCGACCGACCGATCCAACCTGCCGACGTCGTCGTCGTCGTCGGTGCACGTGCTCCCCGATGACGAGCGCCTTCGCTCGCGTTGCGTGCGCGAGGAAGTCAGTCCGACGAAGGCCGTGCGCCTATCGATCGAGGTACGCTCGAGCTCTTCTTCGCATTTCGCGGATAATCGCGCCGCTCCGGTATTCGACGACGGGCCGATGCGAGGACGCGGGAACGAACGGGAACGATCGTTCTCGCGGAAGCTGGTTACCTTGGCGGTGTCGTCTCAAGGTTACTACTATGATACGTCGTCGCGCGACCACGACATTCCATTGAGATCGCGCCGAGTACGAGACGAAGGACGCGGGATCCCCTTGACAGGAAAGACTCACGCGCTAAGAGAAACGTCGTCGTGCGAATTTCTACGCCGAGTCGAGTCCACACCACGGTCGCTGTCACACTCCCGCGATTATCTCTCTCCTTCCATCCGCGAGTCCTCGTTTCCTACCTTTCACGACGCGAATCGTAACGTGCGCGCGTAAGCGCCCGTCCCTCTTTCTCTCTCTCTCTCTCTCTCCCTCTTTCGCGACGTCCCCGTTTATCGATTTCGCTTGACGAATGTCGAGAGGAGACCACCGACGCGACTCCGCGGTCGATCCGTACAGATAAGTTCTCCGCGGATATAATTCAACAGCGAGCGCACCGAGACCTTCCCTCCCTCCGCGAGGAATCACAATCGGGAGTAACGTGGGTTCGTCGATGAAAGAATCCCCTTGACAGGAAAGACTCACGCGCTAAGAGAAACGTCGTCGTGCGAATTTCTACGCCGAGTCGAGTCCACACCACGGTCGCTGTCACACTCCCGCGATTATCTCTCTCCTTCCATCCGCGAGTCCTCGTTTCCTACCTTTCACGACGCGAATCGTAACGTGCGCGCGTAAGCGCCCGTCCCTCTTTCTCTCTCTCTCTCTCTCTCCCTCTTTCGCGACGACCCCGTTTATCGATTTCGCTTGACGAATGTCGAGAGGAGACCACCGACGCGACTCCGCGGTCGATCCGTACAGATAAGTTCTCCGCGGATATAATTCAACAGCGAGCGCACCGAGACCTTCCCTCCCTCCGCGAGGAATCACAATCGGGAGTAACGTGGGTTCGTCGATGAAAGAATCGCGTGCAGCCGCGCTCGCGCGGTTCTTGCCATCGTCGTCGTCGTTGACGATGTATCCTCTCTCTCTCTCTCTCTCTCTTCGAGAGGAATATTGTCGCGGAGCTAGACGGTCCGCGGGACCAACGCGAGAGAAAAGATCAATGAAACGGAACAGCCTCGCTCGCTCCGGCTCGCACGACTAGCGCTCTTTCCGAGAGCGACGTTCGTCAACGTGCGCCGTGCGCGTCGTCAGTGACGCGCCGACCGAGACTGCCGTCCGCCGTCCGTCACCGCCGCCGCTACCATTACCGCCCCCGCTACCATCACCGCCCCCCCCCCATCCCTCCCTCCATCGTCACCGTCGCCGCCGCGACGCTGACAGCGGCTTTCCCATGAATTCAATTTTTGCGTAGCGAATAGAAGACATATGTAATATTTGTTAGACTCGCAGAATATTGTTCAGATTTTTGTCAAGAGTCCAGTCTATTCTAGTGGACAATTGATGATTTTTAGGAATTTTTTTTTGGAGAATATTAGGGATCGATCTTTTTGGCGTTTTACATATATTTTTTAATCTTGAATATTTAACTTTTTTTTTTCTGTTCGATACGAGTAGTATATTTTTGGGATACTGAACCTAATTAGAATTTAAAAAATTAATATTTAAAATTTTTCCAATCTTGAAGAAAAAATTTCAGGAAAATTGAGATATCTGATTTTAAAAAGATACTACTTTGTTATTCTTTAATCTTTTCCAATCAAATTAGATTCAGTACCCCAAAAATATCCTACGAAATAAAACCAGATCGAGTTTTTTTTTCATTTCAGATAGTTACAAGAGGAGTAACGTCGAATCATGCATTTTTGAACGTGCTACGAACAGAGGCTCGTATTAAATAAAAACATTAAATATCCAAGATTTAAAAATAATAACATACTGCTTAGACATCGATAAAAACATATGTGTAAAACACCAAAAAGGTCTCTAATATTCTTCAAAAAAATATCTAGAAATCATCAATTTTTTTATACTAAAATAGACCGGACCCTTAATTTAATTATCAATTTATGCAAACATTATCAGTCTTGTAAAACGTCAGCATTTACAATTAATATGCTGATTGGTTGATGGTAGAATGAGTTAGATCTAATAGAATTCTCTTGTCAGTGTCAACGAAAAGAAGAAGATGAATTTCCATTCCACAGACGTCAGCTGATTTGTTCCTGGTTGTCGCGAGCACGTTCATCTTCGAAATGGGTCGAAAGATATATACGTCGAGAAAGAGAGAAACGCTATGATGCTCCGCACGATCTCCGCCAATTTCGCGGATGTTTCCTTCGCATCTCTTTTTCTCGCGTGCGTGAAAAAAATGGAGCAGCGATTTTCCGAGCTCCGTCGAAAAACGTTCCGTCTTGATCTTAAAAGTTGCGAATTCCCTCGGCGATATCCTTGTCTATCTCTTGAGATGAAAATCTCTTTCTTTCTCTCTCACTCTTGTATCTCTTGCAAGTTAATGACCTCGCCTGAAGTTTGAGATAAGCGAAAACTGACAGTAATATATGGATCCGGAAAAAATTTTCCTCTACAAAGATTGAATTGTTTGAAATATAAGCTTAATTTAAATTTTTTTGGGCATTAATCTCTCTCTTTCTCTCTTATCTGCTATCATGTTTCTTGTATTCCTCATTTAAATATAGTTTTGTTACTTTATATTTTTGCGTGATGTATCAAATTTGTAATAGAATATCCCTAACATATTTTAGAACGATTCTATTCTAGTGTCATGTTTATCCTTTTTATCTCAATTCGTCTTAATTAATCCTATGTATGCATAATTACATCGTGTTATTATTTATAAGCTATATACATATGCACGAGAAGGCCTGAGAAATTCTTGGAAACGTTTATTCTCGCAACTTGAATGTACACGTTCTTCTATTTCATTGAATGAGTAATCTTGTTCTCCACTGTTTGTGAATCTATAATCATTAATATATATAATAGGATACTACAGAAGTTACATAATATTTCTTCAGTTTCGATTTTCCGATATTTATCTTTTGTAATTATTCCATAAAATTATTGATACGAATAATTCTATATTTCACGTATCTTTAAAACGACGTTGCCGTGCTTGAAATTGCTGAATTTCTAGCTATTATTAATATTAACAATCGCACCGCCCGTATCTCTCGCAAAAGCTACAAAGTATTATTTTCTCGCTTTCCACCGAACAAACGGGGAAAACGACTTGTAACAATTGTCCGAATAAATTGCAGAATATCCGTGTCAGCTTGTGAATTCTACATAAAAGAACCAGCACGCACGCTCCAATTAACGCTCGGTTTACGTTCCGCGTTCGCTCTAATTGGATTATGTCATTCGACAGACAAAAAAAATTTATACTAACATGCGCAGCCACGCTGGAGTTACATAGATATTCATCCGAATTTTCGAGTCAAGCCGTTATTTATTTGATAATAATATTCAAAATCGGATATATGTTATACAAATATTTCTACGATCAATGCAGATAAATCGAATCATAAAAATGTGGCGAATTTTTATGGCTGCATTGCTACAACAGTTCAGTGTGTGTGTGTGTGTGTGTGTGTGTGTGAATGGAAGATTGAAATAATAGAACATACGCCATATATGAAAATAAAAATGAAAATATAAATATGCATATAAATATAAAAGTCTTGAGGTATAATAATTATAATTGTGTACGAAATTGAGAAGACATGCTGAAAAGAAATTTATCAAAAGATTCGCACACTGGCAATTTCTATTATTTTCAAAACGTCACACATATTGCAATTATTTACAAGATACATCGAGTTTTCGCTTTTTGAAGTAGATGAATACTTTTACATTTGCGACTGGGAAACATCCCCTGTCCGATTGCACAATTTGCTCTAAAAATATTATGGATTAATTCGTTATTACATATCATGCATAGGAGATGTGTATAAACGGGATTGTATTATGGTAATACATTTATTTTTATCATTCGGGAATCAATAGTGACTCAAATATCAATGTAATATACAAAAGAAACTTCAGTTATGGTAGAAATATATAAATATTCTTCCTGGCTATATACGCAAACACGCACGCGCACACATTGCATATTTTTATCAAAATTTTTGGACATTTATCAAATTAATGATTTTTATTTTTAACTCATTGTATGTGTGTAATATGATTCATAATTTTGATACGAGTCATTATCAAATCAAATAATCTCATTAATCTGGTTTATCCTCTGGTATTGTTTTAGAGTAAATTTCCTTATCAAGGTACACTCTTATCAAACAAAAGAAGTATAGTTATATTTTAAAGAAATTTTTTTTTACGAGATACTAAGAAAACAATATTAACTCTGTTAAAATTTTACTCGCAGTTTATATAGAGACTCGTGAACATATCTAATTTCTGTTCCGATGAATTGTGATATAATTAGTAGAGATAAGAAAGATATATCTACAAAATATAAGAATAATAAGAAAACGCGTGGGAATAACTGAAATATAAGCCTATTTGCATATTTATCTAACTTAGATAAAATTCTTCGGCCACATGTGTGTATTCAGTACAGGTCTGTATGGGCCTAAACTCGCGACTTTCGATCCGACGCGGCTATAGAGCTAAATAGCACAAATAATGTACAGGCTCAGAAGAAAATGACTATTATACATATATTTAAAACAAAATTTTGGATTCTCTCTTATGCCGCGTCAGGTTTTTTCGGCCCGTGCAAACCTTTAATATTCGATACTTTCGCTAAATTCACAAACAAAAAGAGTCTTGTTATATATTATTTGTATATATGTATGTGTGTATATTGTACAAGTAATACATAATTATTAATAAGAGATGTATAGAGAATCGAAAATTTCTAATAATATTTAGTATTAGATTTTATATCCAGATCGAAAAATGTAATTATATCACTTAGTCTACCTGTGTGTGTCTTGCGAAATATAATATTATACATTATATATAAAAACTAATGGAGATAAGATGAATTTATACCTGCTACACAGATTATCTTAGCAAAATATTATGATTTAATTCAAAGAAATGATAATAATATATAATAATTGAGAGAAAAAAAAAACTATCAACTAAAACAGGTTTAGAACATTTTCTATTTTCATAGAATATATTAGCTAACAACATATTTTTGCTATTCATATTACATGAACCAGATAATCAATACCAATGTTCTTTATAATGTAATCACTGCAAAAGAGAGTTGGTAAAAGAAAATTATTATTATTATATAAATCGAATCATAAAAATGTGGCGAATTTTTATGGCTGCATTGCTACAACAGTTCAGTGTGTGTGTGTGTGTGTGTGTGTGTGTGAATGGAAGATTGAAATAATAGAACATACGCCATATATGAAAATAAAAATGAAAATATAAATATGCATATAAATATAAAAGTCTTGAGGTATAATAATTATAATTGTGTACGAAATTGAGAAGACATGCTGAAAAGAAATTTATCAAAAGATTCGCACACTGGCAATTTCTATTATTTTCAAAACGTCACACATATTGCAATTATTTACAAGATACATCGAGTTTTCGCTTTTTGAAGTAGATGAATACTTTTACATTTGCGACTGGGAAACATCCCCTGTCCGATTGCACAATTTGCTCTAAAAATATTATGGATTAATTCGTTATTACATATCATGCATAGGAGATGTGTATAAACGGGATTGTATTATGGTAATACATTTATTTTTATCATTCGGGAATCAATAGTGACTCAAATATCAATGTAATATACAAAAGAAACTTCAGTTATGGTAGAAATATATAAATATTCTTCCTGGCTATATACGCAAACACGCACGCGCACACATTGCATATTTTTATCAAAATTTTTGGACATTTATCAAATTAATGATTTTTATTTTTAACTCATTGTATGTGTGTAATATGATTCATAATTTTGATACGAGTCATTATCAAATCAAATAATCTCATTAATCTGGTTTATCCTCTGGTATTGTTTTAGAGTAAATTTCCTTATCAAGGTACACTCTTATCAAACAAAAGAAGTATAGTTATATTTTAAAGAAATTTTTTTTTACGAGATACTAAGAAAACAATATTAACTCTGTTAAAATTTTACTCGCAGTTTATATAGAGACTCGTGAACATATCTAATTTCTGTTCCGATGAATTGTGATATAATTAGTAGAGATAAGAAAGATATATCTACAAAATATAAGAATAATAAGAAAACGCGTGGGAATAACTGAAATATAAGCCTATTTGCATATTTATCTAACTTAGATAAAATTCTTCGGCCACATGTGTGTATTCAGTACAGGTCTGTATGGGCCTAAACTCGCGACTTTCGATCCGACGCGGCTATAGAGCTAAATAGCACAAATAATGTACAGGCTCAGAAGAAAATGACTATTATACATATATTTAAAACAAAATTTTGGATTCTCTCTTATGCCGCGTCAGGTTTTTTCGGCCCGTGCAAACCTTTAATATTCGATACTTTCGCTAAATTCACAAACAAAAAGAGTCTTGTTATATATTATTTGTATATATGTATGTGTGTATATTGTACAAGTAATACATAATTATTAATAAGAGATGTATAGAGAATCGAAAATTTCTAATAATATTTAGTATTAGATTTTATATCCAGATCGAAAAATGTAATTATATCACTTAGTCTACCTGTGTGTGTCTTGCGAAATATAATATTATACATTATATATAAAAACTAATGGAGATAAGATGAATTTATACCTGCTACACAGATTATCTTAGCAAAATATTATGATTTAATTCAAAGAAATGATAATAATATATAATAATTGAGAGAAAAAAAAAACTATCAACTAAAACAGGTTTAGAACATTTTCTATTTTCATAGAATATATTAGCTAACAACATATTTTTGCTATTCATATTACATGAACCAGATAATCAATACCAATGTTCTTTATAATGTAATCACTGCAAAAGAGAGAGAGTTGGTAAAAGAAAATTATTATTATTATACCTCATACATAATTAAATTATATACGATTACAAATGACTAAAAAAAATATTCGATTGCAACATAAAAATACATTAAACTAATCAAATATATATATATATATATAATTATTTAGTTTACTGATAATATATCGATATGGCCACTAAGAAGATTACAGATCTTATAACAGAATTTAAATTTTGTTTAAACACACACACACACACACACACACACACACGCGCGCGCGCGCGCGTGTGATACTTCCATACATGATCCCGCACATAATGGTAAGAAAGAATTTTTTTTATCTCTTTTCCCAAAATTATTATTATTATACCTCATACATAATTAAATTATATACGATTACAAATGACTAAAAAAAATATTCGATTGCAACATAAAAATACATTAAACTAATCAAATATATATATATATATATAATTATTTAGTTTACTGATAATATATCGATATGGCCACTAAGAAGATTACAGATCTTATAACAGAATTTAAATTTTGTTTAAACACACACACACACACACACACACACACACGCGCGCGCGCGCGCGTGTGATACTTCCATACATGATCCCGCACATAATGGTAAGAAAGAATTTTTTTTATCTCTTTTCCCTTTATGTTTCAAAAACGATAATAGTAGATGTAAGTTTACATTTAATCGTACTTCTCATCTTTTTTTGTGAGCTAGAATGCACAATTCAATTTTGATGAATTAAATATTTTAGTGGATAATTATTTGCGTTTGTAGTGAATATATACATTATAGGTACAAATTGCTACAAAAAAATTGCTAAAGAATTAAAAGGCGTATAGTATTCGCCTTAAAAAATAAAAAACTTTTACTTAATATGCAAGATGCATCATAAAATACAGAAATCAATAATATTACACTCTTGCATATACATGTATGCCATGTCATAATCTGTCGAAGATTATAAATCATTGAAATCATAAAATCCCATTTCTTTATATATATATATAGCAAAATTATATATTTTTTACAAACGGATATGATATGAATATAATAACCCTAGATTTCCGGAAATCTTTTTTTTTACAATGTTGAATGAATCGTAGGACAGTTAACACATTTGATCGCTATGATGCAAATATAGAGACGCGCGGAATGATGTGAAATACGTTGATAGAACATTCATTATGCAAGACGAAGATAATATGATAATATTACAATTACAATTTGATAATTATAAAATTTACATAATATAGATAAAGATTGCTTCATATCCACGTATATGGCGCCAATGTTGAAAAATACTTATTATATGCCTTAGAATTTAACAATTGTCACTAAAACTTTTTGCATGCAATGTATATGAGGAAACTTACAGTCTTCGTCAATGTTGAACTAACAGTTTTATAAAAAAATGAAACACCTACTACAAAATGGTACACCTTCTTCTTCTAACAGGTTCTGGAGGCTCTAAAGCCGCTAATATTGCCTCGTCGAAGACATTTTTAAGTCCTTTCTGAAATATTAAAAGAATAGCTTCTTTTAATAGCATGTAGCAGTAAAATAAAATTAAGAAAAAAAATCAGCTGTCGAATCTATAGCAATAAACAATAATCTTTAAAACTTTTTTGAGTTATCTTTCCGAATTTTATATTGTTTTATTGTTTGGTACTAAGTAATTATCATACCTGTGTAAGAGCGCTACATTCTACATATTTTACAGCTTTTAATTCCTTAGCAAGCTTTTCTCCTTGTTCATTTGAAATTGCTTTTTGCTTATTCTTTGCAAGTTTTTCAATTGTTGCTGCATCGTCCCGTAAATCAATTTGCGTGCCAACCAACAAAAATGGTGTTTTTTGACAGTGATGCGTTATTTCGGGTACCCACTATTAATATATTAAGATATAGGAAATATTTGATAATTATCAATTATAATGATTATAATGATCAATTTTAATTATATTATACCTTTTCTTTAACATTTTCAAATGATGATGGAGATACAACTGAGAAGCAGACAAGAAATACATCAGTTTGCGGATAACTTAATGGACGTAGACGGTCATAGTCTTCCTGACCTACAAAATACCCCAAAGTATTAGTAAATTGTCACTAATATAATTTTGTTACTTTTCTTACTATTTATAATAGATATATAATTTAAATATATTATATCATTTGAAATAATTTACTGCAAATAATTACACTATATATAATCACATATATACATTAATAATAATACTTACCAGCTGTATCAAATAATCCTAATGTATATGGCTCACCGCCAATCATGACAGTGACTGCATAATTGTCAAATACTGTTGGAACATATTCCGATGGAAATTTATTCGTGGTATATGAGATTAATAAACAAGTTTTACCAACCGCTCCGTCTCCTACTACGACACATTTTATTGTCTGCATTTTGACCTCTGTCTGCGAAAAATAGAAATTGTAGAAAAATATTATTTCTTTTGACTTCAGATATTACATCAAGAATATAAGTTATTCAATAATTAGTGACAATATTCATTAATTGCAATAATTTGGTTGCTTGATGTGTAAATGTATATATAAATTACAATTCTTGCATCAAATTATCTATTAATCATGCTATATCATATGATCCATCATGGATATGGACTGAGTATGTTACTTTAAGGATATTCATTCACATATGGTGTCACGGCATGTTAAATATGTTAAGTGCTCTATCTTGATATCGAGTATTATTTTTGATATCCAGAGTAAATGCTCAATGCAATTACAAAACGGCGCATATAAGATCTGACATTAGATAGTCAAAGTAACTTTTTTTTATCTGTGCGAATAAAAAAAAAACAAAGTGGATTCGAAACTACTAGTCTTTCTCCCTCTCTCATTCCTCAACATAAAAGAGATGATCGATGCCGGTGAAAACAAATTACGCAATGAATTTAATTGCGTATGTGCAACAATTGACGACAGTGCAGACAGATTATTGCGTGCAAACCTCTTTTACGAATGAGAGTATTGTCGTACAGCTGTATTTGACTTTTGACTACTACAAGGATTGACGTGCGGGTAACTCGTTGACTCTCGAGAATTCACTCCGATTGTATATACATATATGTATATATGTACGTGAGATTTGCGTAATCCTTGCGTTTCGCGCTCGGTGGACGTTAAATCTATTGCGACAGACGAGAGAAACAATCGGGAAGTCCGTCGCAAAGAGGCGTACAAGCGCACCGGAGGCTCATTGTTTTCGGAGTCGCCATTTTGAGCATTATGTCAAACACACTTCACCGTACGACGGAAACGAATGACGGGGATACCGTGCGACGCGAGTAAAACCGAATCTATCAGACGTCCCGTGTATTAACGACGGCCGTAATCGCTCGCGGGCTGAACGAGATGTGCAAAATTTAAGTTAAACACTCACACGCAACTGGGCGTCGACACTGGACAACGCTTTATCGTCACGGAGTTTGCGATCACGCTAGATGGGCGTCGCATTGAGAATGCGCGCGCAACGCAAACTCGAAGCCGCTTCGCGCAGGCTTACATTAGAGTCCCTAGTAGATAGTTCCTAGAAGATCCTCTAGGGACTCTAGTTTATTTTGAACAGTTTTCATAGTTTTTACATTTTAGAATGCTTGATTGTGATTGGTCGATTTGCTTACGGTCTTACGATTACGATTAAAACTTTTTCGCGTGCAATAGCCTTATTGCAGCGACAGTGGTGTTTTCTCAATACAAGATAATTGATGTAAAAGATCTGTCATTAAAAAATTTATAAAAAAATATATATTCATATTTAATTAATATTCATGCTTTCTATGCCAGAGGCTTTTCGATTGTTCGGTTCTAATGCTTTGCAATGTTCGATTCTTGAGTCTACATCGTTTCCAGGCTTTTATTAGTAGTCTGTGGTCTTTAGCCTGTGTTTTGTAAACAAATCGTGAATGACACTTGCCCCACTTGAAGTATTTATTGAAATATTATTCCCGAATAATATCTTAAAACTTTCTCATTGAACATATTAATAGATTTTTGGTGGTTTGAACTGAGAAGACACAAAGATGCCTTTGCCAGCTGCCTTAGCTGCACGTCTTGCAAAAAGGGGTTTAATTTCTGGCTCTGAAAAGCATGGTATATATTTGATAGTAAAAATGTAATTATTGGTAATAACCGTTTGTGAAATTTTTCCTCAAATAAATAAATCAATTTGCTTTCAATTCATAAAAACTGATATTAAAAAATATATATATGTTTGTTTTAGAAACTACATGTATTATTGCATTTATATAACGTTACATCATATTATTAATTTCGCAGAATCCGCAAAGAAAGAGACGAAGAAGAAGGTACATGAAGAAGTAATAGCTGAAGATTATGATAATACAAAAGAAGAAATTAATCAGATTGATATATCACAAAAATTTATGGTAAGTACGACCGCGATATATTAGTAGCATCAAATTGTTTATATACATTAAAATAGTGCATTTGTAACGACATAGTCATTTCTTCATTCAGGGTTACAGTGGATGTCCTAATAAATATAACATTTATCACGAATGTACAAAGAAATGTAAAGAATTATGGGGACTAGGGCATGTACAACCTTCGGACAAGTATTTAAAACAACAAATGAAATTAATTCAGAAATATCCTTTGCCAGATACTTGGAAAGCAGTTTATGATCCTGGATGGTAAGCTTTAATAGTTTTCTGGACGAATCTATTCTCTTTCAAAAAATAAATGTTATATTTGCAATTATTTGAATTATAATAATTGTATAAGACAGTCTTGTTGCAATTTATAAAAATAGATACAGATATCTTTTAGTAATATTATTTTTGGAAAGAATGCTTGAAATGATATATTATTGAGAAAGCATATTGTATGAAATATTCCATAGGAAAATCAATTAATTTAAGATTTGTTTAAAGTGGACAACATTATTATTGGGATTGGTCATCTGATTTGGTATCTTGGTTACCACCCGGTCATCCCAAGTGTCAGATATCACAACCCGCACCACAGTTACGTGAAGAATTACATTTAAAGGCAGGTGATCAAGATGATAACATGTCAAGTGATGACAGTGTTAGTGACCAAGAACAAATGGAGGTTAATAAATATATTTTTTATGTAATATATATATTATAAATTACAAGTTATCTCTATTATTATATAAACATTAAAGTAAAACACATTTAACATTTACAAACAATACTATGATTTTTCAGGTAGATGAAAGTGACGTCAGGAAAGATAGAAAGATTGAAAATCGTACAAGATATAAAGGACCAGACAATAAAAGAATTCAAAGATCTGATAGAAGTGATGGTAAAGACAAAAAAGATCGTACATTGGATCCTATGGATCCAGCATCGTATAGTGATATTCCCAGGTATGTATTTGTATTTCAAACATATGTTATTAATGTATATATATAAATATAATTCTTATTTATATATAATTACGTCATAGAGGAAAATGGTCAGATGGATTGGCTAGACATAACGAAGCCAAGACTGGTGCAGATACGACTGCCTCAGGGCCTCTTTATCAAATGAGGCCGTATCCCAGTCCGGGCGCGGTGTTGCGTTCAAATAGAGTTAATAAACCAGAATCAGACTCGGCAAATAAACCAAAAGTTGCGTTTCCCGAGAAACCGGAATAAATGCATGCTGTTATCTCAGTGTATATGTGATTACGTTAATATGTATATATGTATCTTTAAACTAATGGAAATACTATATCATATCTCGTAATTTTCTCTGACGTTTTCTCTTTGGTTTTGCACTTTGTTTTTGTCCTAAATCAATAGTCCGTTTAAATTTTTTTCAGGAAAGGTTAATTGAAAATTTATTAATATAAATTAGCGAACAAATATCTCTTCTTATATTTTCTTATTGTGGAAATTTTCTTATTAAAAATTTTATGATACTTGAATTGATGTATACAAGATAAATTGATATATTTTTCATAATATTTTTGCTTAAAAATGTCGCAAATATCGCAAATCGATCTTATATTCATTCGATGAATAAGAAATCTCGAGATGAATCTCAAAATTGTATTTAGAAAAAAAGCTATTGCTAATTGACACATTAATGATCAGTAAAATGCGATATGTATGAGAATAAATTTTTGGCATATTAAAATATTTTATTTTCTATTCGTCGCCTCGGTATATTTTAATGGAATCATAGAAATCATTTTGATTCGTTCGTTCTATCGACTAGATTGTAGTTGTAAATAATTTAATAATAACAATATTAGTGGAATATTCAAGTATATTTTGAAGAAACTTTTTATTATTACCTAAATAAATAAATAATTAATATCATAAATGAATGCTTTAACGTCCAGTGTATGAATATTTCTTGAGAAAGAAAACATTTGAAATAAATAAAATTATACAGGATCAATTGCAACAAAATCGAATTCACTACGATAATAAAAGATTAAAATTGACCGTCAATCGTGTATACGTCACTTGTTGATATTTGAAATAGATAGAGATGGCGGGAGATCTAGATGATAATCGATGTATATGAACTCTCATACATATCTTTATCTAATTTCGCTTCGGTCGAACAACCGAAGAAGATAAAGAGCTCTCTCTCTCGAAAGTGGTGTCAGTAGGAAGGAGTGAGGGACTCTATAATCGACGGAATTTATCATAAATGTCATCCGTTACCGGTTTAAGCAGCAGTTTACCGTATTTCGTTTGAGTGGCCGCGTCGCTAAAAACTCGCTGATAAAAAAAAACGCGTCGGAGCAACACTTGCGACCTCCGCGCGATATTTACGAGAATGACTATCAGTATCGCGCTGACGATACTTATCATTCTTACCTTCGCGCCTGACGACGCGGATCTAGGATTTACGCGATTATTCAACGGTGAGTTACGAGAGGAAGCTTTATCTCGGCGTGTCAATTCTACTGACCACGTAATACATCGCGTCTTCTTCGTTTCATCTCGCGATCGCAAAGCACCGAAAAAACCTCTTCTTGAAATCTAAAGGATATTAGTTCGACGTCTGTATCGTTTGCGATACAGCTGATCGAAAAGAGGAAAGAGGAAAATGGATCGTCATCGCGCCTTCGTACGTAATGATGAAAACTTTAGTGAAAATAAAAATGCGAAACATTGGTGAGATTTGGCAGATCGTTTGTGGCAAAATTATAATTGATTGAAAGTTCACAATTGATGAGAATTCTAATTTCTATTTAAAAAAATCCCAGGGATATCTATGTAACTGTAATTCATTTAATTCATAACCACGGTCGTTTCACAGACTTCTTTATTATGTGTATGTGTGTGTGTGTGTTTGTTGCAAGATCTTTTTTTCAATTTATTATAAATGCCAAATCTTGCCTATATATCTTGCCTAATAATCGTCTGAAATACGTAATATTAATAAACTTTTATGTACTATTATGAATTGTAAAGATAATATGCAAGATAATACGCATATTAAGTTGAAGAAATGAGAAATGCAAAAAGAAATGTAAAGAGTGAGAGAGTGCATAAACAATAATTTGGAGTAAACGAACAAAAGCTTTATCTAAAATATATTTTTACGTTTCTATAATTATTGCAAATATATAAGCAAAGATAAAATTTTAAAGATTCGTGGACAAATAAGAGCTAGACGCGGATGATAGTGCAGAGAAAATATTTTTCTATGAAACTGATACTGTACATAGGGCACGAAATTCTCTTGGTCCTATATTAAGAGTATTTAAAACGCGAGTCTTTAAAGTTGTGATTTTTCACTTGGGAGCCTTATTAATTTAACTTAACTTTAAAGATAAAATTGTTTTTGATATTGGGAATAAATATAAAGAGTGCATCTGCATATTTCAAAAGCAAAATATAAAAATATAAAAAAAATATTGCTGTTACATCTTTTTGCATCTCTCACATTTACTGAAAAATAATACAAACAAGATGTTGAGATTTCGCGCGCACAAACAGATTTATAAAGGCGGATAAAAATTTATTCCTTCAAGCATTTTTTTGCGGGCATTATTTCTTCGAGACAAGATCAGCCGGATTTGAATAAATCTCTCGTTTGTTCGATTAGACAAGGACTCGCCTACAGTTTCGATTCTCGAGGATTTTTCAAAGGACAGTCTACGTTCGAACAATACTCGCGAGAATGACTGGCTCCAATATGACAATACGTTCGACGACCGCGTTACGGAGATCGCGAGACAGGATAACGCTCAGACGAGCAATTGCTCGGAGCGTTCGATCGACGAGTTTCCGGAGGTGTTTACGCTGGAGCAGCGTCGTCGGGGGACGATAATACTCCACGTTTTCTTTGGATTCTACTGTTTTATCCTGACGGCGTTCGTCTGCAACGATTATCTATTACCCACTCTCGACATCATATGCACGCGCCTCAGCATCAGCAGCGACGTCGCCGGGGCGACTTTCCTCGCCACCGCGAGCTGCTTCCCCGAGCTGTTCGTCAACGTCGTCGGCACCTTCCTGACCGAGTCCGACCTCGGGGTCGGCACCGTGATGGGCGGCGCGGTCTTCAATACTTTCGCGACCCCGGCGTGCGGCGCGTTATCGGCGATCCACGTGAGTATACTTAAGCATTGTTAAGTATACCCCCGAATATAAACGCGGAATTATAGAACAGTGATAATGTATCTGAGAGAGAGAGAGAGAGAGAAACTTCAATTTGTTATAATACACCTAGATATGTGTTTTACTTAGCTGTATTTATCTGCGCTCAAGATGGGATCAGTAGAGGAAAGATACCAAAGTTGACACACAGTTGACACAGTTGAATTTTTCTTCTCGATTCTGAAACTTCCGCTTAAAAGTTTGAGATATGAGAAAAATATATTTACCGATATTTATCAAAAACCACATTTTTTGATAATATCGTTAAATTTTTTTTGTATACCTCTTGTAAAAGTTTATTTAATTAAAAATTGAGGTCTGAGAAAGGTCCCCTAAAATCCATTGAAACACGGTAGGATTCATAAAAAAAGAAAAATAGAAATAAAAGAGGTTCACTAATTTTTTGTGCAAGTGTATATGTGTCTATGAAATCTGCATCTACTGTATAATGTAAATGTTATCGATATGTGCTATTATCTATCTTGCTTATCGACAATTATTTTTATTAATGATATTATTTTTTATTAGTTATACTTGCGATTTTTATCATTTATCTACATATACGATATCATCGTCGAAAATTATATTTTTTTTATCAGCGATAAGCCATTTCGTTTGCGCGATTTTCTAAACAGGACATTTTCTTACGTGGATTGAGCATACATTAATTTTATTCCTATATGTATACTCCTTAAATTGCTCCTTAAATAAAATTATATTAATTAAAAACAGACATAACGTATATAGAAAAATTTCATATGAAACGTTTTAATAGTAATCGCGAATTGATTAACTTAATATAATTGTGTATCTAATCACAGATCTATTGAGATTTGATAAGTTTGAAAAAGAATTAAAGTATCTTATATAATAAAGTCTTCTCTTATATAATAAAGTGTCGTTACTTAATACGAAATAGCTGATACGAAAAACCTTGTTCATACACAGATTACAATGCCCCAGAAAATAGTACACAAACCTCTGTAACTTTAAAGCGCTAAACTAGAGCAGACTAATATATCTTGTGCATTATCATTTTTTTATTATTCATGATTAGCAGCAGCAATTCATTGTTTGCAAATATTTAGTTATGATTTAAGAGATTAAAATCATTGCAGCGAATTCCATGATATCACCAATGTCATGGAAACATCAATAAAATACTTCGAAGAAACAGAATACACGTTTTGATAAGTATTATCACGTCTAATTAAGAAAAAATATCTAATTGCACCGCACACACCCATACACAACATAAACACGTCTTCGTTAGTTTATTTGTATTTTGTTTCTTTAATCTATATGTAAAAGTTAGTCAAAAGTAAACAGAGAAATTCGCGAAAATCTTTTCAGAGATTATTTTTTCGATTATTGTTAAGTTATTTGATGCATCATCATTTCCATACGACACTAATAAAGATTTAATTACACGAGATGTAAATTCACAATGGCTTTTCTTCACAATTTTAATAGATAAGCAAATTCTTTCCTTTTCAATTTCAGTTTAAACTATGAAAAGATCGAAAGTTTGCCAAACCATATTTGTCGATCTTTTACCGTTACCAGTAGACTAGAAAATTGATTAAACTCTGTAAAGTAAACGTAAAAAAATAAAGTGCTTATTCAAGTGCTGGATTACGGGATATCAGTTATAAAGCGCGATATGTGTGAAATTATGTCAACTATGTAAGGTCGCGGGTTTCGTGAGTAATATTTTATGTACACACATATATACATACGCACACATACACATATATGTTTATGTAAATAATATTTTTCACGATTCACAGAATTTATTCCTGGTGCGTGTATATATTTATACTATTGTATTCGATAAATATAAACTTATTTTCAATTGTCCATTTTGGACACCTTGGAATCCGCTGCAATAGATTTCTAAAATGTAAATATATATGTCATGTATCGCTTTAAATATCTTGTATTTTTTTTTATTTTATTATTTTAACATAAATGTTATCATTAAACTGGCTTAAAAAAATAGCCATAATTGATGCTCTCGTATCTAAGTGCACAAAATTATGAAAAATGCCTTATGAAAAGACTATAAAAATAAATTTAGAACAAATATTATCGGTATAGCATTTGTAACATTCTTATAACATTTTTCTATAGCTTCCTATTATAATACTAGAGTGATAGCTCATCCTGTCACAGTATATGTCAGACTAAATAAAATTAAAACAATTTCTTTCTTACATTCTCCAACAGGCAATACAATTAGACCGGCGAATATTAACTCGGGATTGTATAATTTACGTGATATCGGTCGTCACCTTAGTGATCGTAATGTGGGACGGCGTAATCAAGTTGTACGAAGCGATCATCCTCATGGTACTGTTCGTCACTTATTTGGCGATACTGTTTTGTGGCAAATGCTTTGTGCGTTGGTATAATAAACTTGCGCATCTGTACACTGACAAGAACCGCAGTACGAATTTTTCCGAAAAAGAAAGTAAGTCCTATCACTGAGTTTCTTTGAAATATCTGTTTTGTGCAATTTCCATACGCCTTTCCACGAATGTGATCGATCTTCCCAGCAGTTAACGCGAATCATCTCTGCACGTGTGGCAATGTAAAATTCTGTGTGTCGGCTTTTCATATCAGATCGTATCTTAATTCGCATAACACATGCATTTGTTGTGACAGAAATGTAGCTAAAACGACATTCGAGCTTTAGATATTTTATGTTATATAATCGACATAATTATTATGTTTATTTTAATTATAATTTTACACATGAGTTTAGATGTCTGTTTAAACTTTACAAAAGAGCGATTGATAATATTTTTCTTGATACGTGAATCGCGACGTAAACTTTTAAGGTGATTATTTTGAAAGATAAAATATCAATTGCTCGAGTCCAACTAGAAACTCGCATATCCCCGCAACATCTTTCACGTTAACACGTAATACTTGTCGACAGGTAATTCAATTATAATCGTGTGTATGTGCGTTTATCTAAAATTCTAAAAGAGAGACCGCGTGGACCACCTATGTATGAATTTTATTATCCAATAGTTCCTAAAGACAAGGAAGAGTCAATGCCTGACGGCTTGTACAGGCCGTATTTTCACGGAGAACTCGTGGCCGAATACAGAAAGAGCGTAGCGAGCAACGGCGGTCGCAAGTCTTCCTCGAAGACTAACGACGTGGAGGCACAAAACCACGTGGAACAAACGGAGGAATACGTGGAACCAGGTATCATAGGCCCAATCTCGTTCAATCGCGAAAAGAATGGAATTTAAAAGCGTTACGCTCCAGGATAAGATAAAATAAAATAGCGGATCGCTGAGTTATGCTCGTTTCTAGACACGCCCTTTGTATGGCCGACCGGAGGTAACCTGGCGAAAGTCTGGTTCTGTTTCGTCTGGCCGTTGAAACTAATGTTGTTCGTTACCGTACCGGACAGCAGGTACAAACGATGGAGAAACTGGTATCTGATAACGTTCGTCATGTGCGTGATATGGATCGCGATATCGTCCTACCTGACGTCATGGATGACGACCGTACTCGGCGACACCATCGGGATTCCGGATTCCGTGATGGGTATCACGTTCCAAGCCGCCGGTGGCAATATGCCGGAACTCGTCTCGATCGTGATACTCTCGAGACAAGGTGAGCCTTTCCGAGCATCGAGTCGTCGATTGAAAAAAAAAAAAAAAAAAACTTATTAATCAAAGAGATCCGATCAATGATGGTGATTCGATCCTCGAATGACCAATCTTTCCTTCCACAGGCAACGGAGACATGGCGATGAGTAATACGTTAGGCGCAAACACACTCGACATCCTGCTATGTCTCGGCTTACCGTGGATGATAAAGATACTCATGGACAAGAAGGACATCAAGATCATCTCGGATGCTCTAAGGTACAGCGTGCTTTCGATCACCGTGTGCGTCGTCGCTTTCTACACGGTGACTGCGTTCTGTAAGTATCGCTTGAACAAGAAAGTAGGCATCATCTGCCTGATATTATACACGATATTCTTAATTTTTGCTCTGTTGTTCGAACTGAACGTCTTTTACCCTGTGAACTTACCTATGTGTCCTTCTTAAAAATCTGCCGTCATTTTTCGATCTTTTTTTTTTTTAATAATCAATAGTTATTCAACGCGAGAAAGGCAAGATTGAATCAAAGTTATTTCCGCCAACTTTGATACTATCTTAAAGAGATCAACAGAAGTACTTTTCTCTCATCATTAGTCGCAATAAAAAATCATTGTTAAATTGCGAAATATTATCATCGACATATCTTTTCCGTTTTGCTTTCACAATCATGTATTTATATATTTTATCTCTAAAAGTCTAGAGATTAAATTAGAGATACTGTTTTATATCGAATATAAATATAGATTATAATAAAAATAATTTTCTTACTAATATACTAAAGGAAAAAAAAGATATTAAAAAAATGGTCTTTTTTTTCATTTTTCAACTTGTTTCTTTATAATTAGCTCTATATACGAGATGAAATTTGCAAACTCGCGAAGTGACATTGTTATTAGTGTAACGACTTTGATAAAAGTCGTATATTTAAAACACGATAAAATGTACTCATGCAATAATTCTTAAATTCTTAATAAGGAACTAATATTCTATGGATGTTGAGAGAGTTTTTATTAGTTTTTATTATAAAAATTA